AGGCTGAGCAAGCCATGGGGAACAAGCCAGTAAGCAGCACCCCTCCATGGCCTCTGCATCAGCTCCTGCCTCCAGGTTCCTGTCCTGCTTGAGTTCCTGTCCTGTCTTCCTTTGATGATGAACAGCGGTGTGGAAGTGTGAGCTGAATTAACCCTTTCCTCTCCAACTTGCTTTTTGGTCATGGTGTTTCACACAGCAATAGAAACTGTGACCAAGACAGTTGGTACCAGGAGTGGGGTATTGCTCTGAGAGGTACTTTGGGGAGAATTGTGGGAGGACCTTAGGACTTTGGGCTAGAAAAACCATTGAGAGTTGAGAGCTCAGTGAGCTGTTCTGTGTGAACTTGGGAGATGAAACTGGACAGAGCAGCACAGACAATGGAGGACTGGCTTGTGAAGTTCCCCTGAGGGCCATTTGCGGCTTTAAGACTTTGTCATTCTGGTTATCTGGGGCTGAAGAATCAGATGTGATTAACAGGAGACCAGAACCACTGAAGTGAAACCTTTGCTTTGCTGGGCCAGTGCATGCTGCTCAGCTGGGGCTGAAGAATCAGCAGTGATTAAGAAGAGACCAGCATCCCTGAGGGGAAGTCCTCTGGGAAGGGTTTCCTCAGGGTCAGCACACAGAAGCTGTGTTCAGAGGCAGCCAAGGTTGCACCTCATGCTGGCAGCTGGACTTGGTCATGTAAGAGTCACCCAGGTGGTGCTGGTTTTGGAAACATGAAGGGGCCATGGAGAGCAGCTGAGGCTTGGCACTGTGTGGCGGGGCTGGAGTCCCTGAAGAGAGCCCAGGGGAGGCCACTGGTGAAAGTGCAGTCCAGTTACAGCAGAGATCCCGGCATTTTGGAGATGCCAGTACCATGGGACGACCACCAAGAACAGCAGCAGCAGTTGAGTGGAGCCAGGGCCTAGAAAGACAAGCTGTGTGTGCTGCAGAGGGCGGAGCTGGAGAAGTGACCCAGGCCCTTGGGAGGAGCCCAGATGACAGTGAGCGAATCCCAGACGTTGGATTGTTGGAATTTGGTTCTGCTTTGATTTGATTGTCCCCTGATTTTTCCCTCTTGGAGTCCAGAGTTGAGTAAAAAGCATTTTACTGGAGTCCACAGTTGAGAGATTTTGAATATTAAAAGACTTTGGATTTTAAAAGAGATTGGCTATTTTAAAGGGACTGAAATTTTAATGTGTTTGAATTTGTAAAGACTGTGAGACTTTTAGAGTTATTTATGTTTTTAATGTGAGATCTTGGGGATGAATAAGAAAGGAAGGGTCGTTGCCTCACAGTGATGCGTGTGTGTGTCAGGTTGACAACGGGTCGGTTGTCCTGGCTGGTCTTGTGTGTTGACTTGACACAAGCTAGAGGCATCAGAGAGGAAGGAGCCTCAGCTGAGGAAATGCCTTCATGAGATCCAGCAATTAGGCATTTTCTCAGTTAACAGTGGGGGAGGGCCCAGCCCATAATGGGTGGTGCCATCCCTGGGCTGGTGGTCCTGGGTTCTATAAGAAAGCAGGCTGAACAAGCCATGGGGAGCAAGCCAGTAAGCAGCACCCCTCCATGACCTCTGCATCAGCTCCTGCCTCCAGGTTCCTGCCCTGCTTGAGTTCCTGTCCTGACTTACTTCAGTGATGAACAGTGATGTGGAAGTGCAAGCTGAATAAACTGTCTCCTCCCCAACTTGCTTTTTGGTCATTTGCAGCAATAGAAACCCTGACTGAAACAGTGGGTCTCACCCTCCTCTTAGATGAAAAAGAAGATCCCGAGCCCCAGAAAGTGTCTTTGAAGATTCAGAAGTCGCTTTGGAGACGAGGAGAACACTGACGCTGGAGATGCCCGTGAAGGTCAGAGTAAAAAGTCTCCCGGGTGAGTGGAAACTTTAGCCCTTAAAGACTCCTTACACGGTGTGCTAAACACAATCTCACCCACATGGAAAATGAAGTGTGCAATGTTTAGTGCCTGGCTGATTTCCTGAAAAGGTTTTGTTTTTAATTAAAAATGATTGAGAATTTCATATATGAGTACTATCCACATCATTCCCACCTTCCCCCCCTCCTCTGTCATGTCCCCTCCACTCTTCAAATTCATGCCCTCTTTTTAATTATTGTCACCCCCACACACCTACACACACACACACACACACACACACACACACACACACACACACACACACCTATGTACTATCACTCAGGGACATGTGTTTAGAGCTAGGGTCACAGATGCACGCCACCGCCCCCAGCTGCCACATGAACTCTGGAGATTGAGACTCAGGTCTCTGCGCTGGCACAGCAGGTGCTTTGCCAGCCCAGCCACAGTTCACACACACACACACAGGCCACCTTCCTGGTCGCTCCGCACGCCCCCCAGCCAAGCCTCAAAACCCCCCTCCCCATCACGAGGACATCTCATCCATTTTCCTTCCGGACCACTAGATGCCGCTCTGTACCCACCCATGGCACGGCCGTTCCTGGCTCCTCGAAGGCTGGGGTGAGACCAATGAGCAGCTTCTGCTGGGTCGCCTTTCCCAGAGGGAGGCCTGGAGAAGGACCCTGTCCCCTGAGGCCTCTCATGTCCCCAGGGCATAGTAACCCCACAGTCAGCACTCACACCCTCGGGGTGGCCCAGGCTCTTTCCACCCATCAGCTCCTAGACCTCCCATAGGCCCCAGTGATCAACTTCCCACCCCACATGCAAAAATAATGTAACACTTGGTGGGTAAAGGCGCCCGCCCGCCACACAGTGTGAGGCCCTGGGTTCAAGCTGGCGGAACCCTCATAAAATAAATAAACACATAAATAAATAAACACATAAATAAACAAACACAAATACATAAACACATAAACACATAAATAAATAAATAAATAAATAAATAAAGTCATGTTCACAATCTCTTTAGCCTCCATGAAATGGAGCCAAGCATTGAGCACCAGTGCCACGCAGCCACCATAACCATTAGCATCTATGTGGCTGAGGGTATGGAGGGAAGAATGTTCATCCATGGCTGGAAGACTTGATACGGTCTGGAAAACTACATTAGCGGCTCCGTAAAGTGAAAGCGCCCGTCCCCTCGGACGTTGTTTTCCCTCGGTGGGACCCGACAGAGGCACACGCCCTTGGCACGGTCACAGCCCCAGACTCTCAGCAGCTGTCCACGTGAGGCCACTCAGAGGCAAGAGCTGGGACGAAGCGTGGCCGTTCACACGACGGATGCATCTACGTCTCAGTCAGTGTTCTATGGCTGTGAAGGGACACCAGGGCAGCTCCTATAAACGAAAGCATTGGACGGGGCCTTGCTCACAGTTGCAGAGGCTTGGACCATTATCGTCATGATGCGGGAGCATGGTGGCACACAGGCAGGCAGGGTGCTGGAGAAGTAG